ACTCCAAGAGATAGCTCTTCTGGCTGATTGAGCACCAATTTGCTTCTAATTCAGGTAGGTTTCCTGTAATGAGAGGATATTTGAAAGAACCCAGCATGGCTGAGTCCGTGGAGGGATATCTTTGGCTGTCTGGTCAAACTTGGAGACCTGGACATGGCCAATGTTGGCTTCTATTATGAAGAAGAGGAGCATCTGGTGATAGCCTCTACCTCAAGGGTGTCTGTCAGATGTCATCTTTCATTATAGGAAGAATGGGGACTAGAGGAAAGGAGTGGATATTCTCAGCAGGGGAAGGGATTAAATACTAAATCTGACATGTTGGCCATCAGGGAGTTTTCCCATTCTCTGTCTCCAATGTTTGTGGAAAGGACAATGATGAATTGTGGCAGAGGCAGCTGTACCTGGCAGGGATTTTGATCTGCCCAGAATACACTAGGAAAGTTGGGGGCAGCAGATGGAAAGTGTAATAGATAGATAGGCACAATTTCTTTGACACCTGTGCATTCATAGCCTCCCTCTCACCTCTCAATCAAGGAGAATTATGGCAATGTCACTGTAGTATTTACTGCTCTCCTGTAGCTCTGTGGCATAACTGTGCAGAGAGAACCTTACAAGCCCAGATGGGGAATCTGTATTACAAAGGATTTTGCCCCAGGAAGAGTAAAAGTGGGGAGCTGGTAGGTAAGAGGAAACTAGAGGGGAAAACAGAGCAATTAATGTTCACACTTTGGGACTGCTAAAGAAAGTATTTCATGGATAGGCTAAAGAATAAATGGAAGGATAATCCTGGCTTGATAAAGGGATGGCATTAAGTATTAAAGGAGGCTGATAATGAAAGGAATAAAAGGAAATTAAATGTTTCCTTTTGATTGTTAGATTATGGTCCTTTGAATGCAACAATCCACTAATATAGGGCTATAGGAGCTCCAAGGTTTATTTAGACTACGGAATCCTACCTCATAGCAAATTAAAAATCAAGAGAACCCACCACTCAATTTAAGAACTCAGTTGATTCAACTCTCATTAGCAGTTTACTTCCTCCCAGCATTTATGCTTGCTCTCGTGATCATATCATCTTTCTTCTAGAAGCTGGGTAGGCTGAGGCTGAGCTGTGGGGGCCTGGTTAGTTCTGGCTCATCTTTGTTCACAGTGTGAGTCCTTTCAGAGATCCAACTCCACCAAAGGGTGTTCAATGCCCTCCCATCCTTAGCCAATCCTTGTCCCTTCAGCCAAAGCTCTCATCACTCAGGCTCTGCAACACACTGTTCCCCTACCTCCTCTTAGAAACAGCAGATGCCTTGGGGAGAAAGGCAGTCCCAAACACCAGGACCACATTCCTGATCTTCCCAACTCTAGATCCTGGCCTGGCAACCTGGGAATCCATTATCTTTTCAACTCTGGTGCCTTTAAGAATTCCATTAATGGATGTGGATTTCCCTTACTACTCCCACTGTGAAGATGAGTCACAGAGAAGTTAGGTACCTTGACTAACTTACCACTGGCAAATGGGGGACCCAGGATTCAATCCCAGGAAGACCTGGGCTAATATCTGTTTCTCAAGCATCTTCCCTTTGTTAGGGTGACTTGTGTTTCTCTCTAGTGATGCAATAACAAATCTTGGAAAATCCTAAGGAATACATTTCTAACATTTCAGGATTTCCTCCAAATATTATTATTAGTAAAGTAGCCCTTGGAATTTCTCATAATCAGAGGATTTAAAGGGATATCCAAGAACTGGAAACACTCTACATGTCTGTCAATTCCTTCTGTAGAGTGAATAAACAATGTGATAAATATTCATTAAATGAACCTACACACCATTAGAAAGTATTGAACTATGACTCATGCAGCATAAATGAACCTAGAATACACTATTGTGAGGAAAGAAGTTCTTTATTTTATTGTGTTTTATGGTTTCTCTTTCATGGTTTTAATACATTTTTAAAATATATTTTATTGATTTTTTTACAGAGAGGAAGTTAGAGGGATAGAGAGTTAGAAACATTGATGAGAGAGAAACACCGATCAGCTGCCTCCTGCACACCCCCTACTGGGGATGTGCCCTCAACCAAAGTATATGCTCTTGATCGGAATTGAACCTGGGACCCTTCAGTTTGCAGGCTGATGCTCTATCCACTGAGCCAAACTGGTTAAGGTGGTTTTAATACATTTTAAGTTTAAAGTTTTTATCTGATAATATTAGTCTAAGTTGTGGGGCAAGTCTAATCTTGACCTCTACTGATAATTTCTGTGTGTAATTGGTGACTTTGGATTGTGAGTTTATCTTTGTGAGGCTTTATAGGAATTTTTATGCCAGATTGACAGTGTTTTCAATAGCAGATAGTTCTGTGCTTGCTTCTGTTAATATTATATTCTCCCCTCTTCTGTTAGCATTTTTATGAGTATTTCTTGGTTTGGAGGCAATGAAGCTAGTGTAAATTCAAACTTCAATTTGTGTAAGGTCGGGCCCATATGATTTCTCAGAGAAGTCTCCTTCCTATTTTTCAACACAAAGACCAGGCCAAGACAGAAGAGCTTTCTTGTAATTTCCATGTGCTAGTAAGCCATTTTTTTGTTTGTTTGTTTGTTTGACTAAGGATGTAGCTGGGAATTTTATGCAATTTTGGCTCCATTCTCTCACCTTGCTACAATCAAGACTTTGTATCCTACACCTATCTGGCCAATAAAACATGCACTCCCTGCCTGCTCCTTAGGGCAGCAGTTCTCTACCACTTCTACAAGGGCAAGCCCAGAACCAGGGCTGTTTATTTGCCTCGTGGTTGTTGGCTTCTGTGATTTTTTTTTTTTCTTTTAACGTCAGCTTTGCCTTAAAAAAATGTCAGTTACACTTTAGCCAACATTTCTAGTGTTTGTAGTGGGAGGGTTTTCAATTTTTCTGCTCCACAATATTGTTGTTAAATAAATTTTAAAATGCTACAGTCTTTCTTGAAGGTTTATATATCAGCCTAATAAAAGGCCAACAATTTAACCCTTGTTGGAACAAGGTACATTGAGATCTCTCATGACTTGGATTTACCCTAAGTCACTATTTTGTTTGCATAGTAAGAATTAGGCAGTTTTTCTTGCTCAAGAACAGTCAGGAGCTTAGCTGTTTCCTGAAACCATTACTTTAACCTGTCGCTAGGATTGTGCTGTACTCACAGGACAGGGGGCTTATTTTTCTGCTACAGCATGAAAAATGTATCAATACTTCACTTTTAAAACAAATGCCAATACTATTCATATATGTTAAAAAGCATAGAAGATGAAAAAAAACACACCCTATTTTGTGCCACTTAAAAGAACATTTGCTCTTTGAGGAGGTAACATTTACTTTTGTTTCTAATGTTATTTATTAGATTGAGATTCATGCTTAGAATTTACTGCACAGAGAGCTGGAGTGTGAAGAACACTCCCATAGCATGACAACTCCATCGTTTAGTGAGCCTACCCATTGGTCCCTTTGGGGCACAAATGTGTTCTGTGTTTATCCTATTGTCTCTACCCCAGTAACTAACTATAATAAACAATTTTAGGAATTATATGCCTTACCAGTAACAACAGAACACAAAGAATTCTGTTGGCATGAATCTTTCCAAAGGGTAACTTTTAGATTAACATGATGAATCAGATGTCTATTAACTATAATCACACTTAGGGAGATTTATGGAGCCTATCAGTTACTGACTTCAATGTATACTGATTTCAAAGATATTAAAACGGGAGGTGGAGCTCATGCAAAGGCCAATTGGAAACGATGCCTCCATCACTCCCCTATACAAAAGCTCAGAATCTACCCTGATGGCTCCACAAAGAACTTTCCATTGAGATGAATGCTAGTCCTATTTCTCCACGTGTGCATCTTAAAGGCTCCTTGTGTGCCTTTAAGAGGGATCCCAAATCCATTTCTGCCTCCAGAATTCCAAATCTTGCCCTCTGGTCACATGTTACCACCAATCCCTCGGTCTAAACCAGGTTCCCTTTTTATAAACTCACATAGCATCTTAAGTTTTCTAGTTGGAACTCTTATCCCATTTATTAATATCCATCTTCCCAAGTAAAATATAAATTCTATGAGGGCATAGTATTCACAATTTGAAAACTCTGGTATCCTGCAGACCAGTAATGGTCTAGCCCACGTGGGCATTTGTACGCTATTTCTCAGAAGCTTAACCTGTGACAATGTCACTGTGGCTGAGATGACATACGCTGGTCTCTCTTTCAGTTAGGTGTGACCTTGTGACTAAGTCCTCTCATGGGAAATTTGACCAGAAATGTGTGTGCCTCTTGGCAGCCTTCCCTAACATTTCTGAGGAGCACTCTCCCCTCTGACTGGTGGAGATGAAGGTGACCACAAACAAAACTCCCTTGGCCTGGATCCTAGAAAAACCTGCCTGAAGCACAGCCACTACTATCTGAGAGGTCTGAGGTGGACTAGGTGGCACAGTAATACAATTCTTGTTCTTAAAGGCCCTGACATTTGGGGGTCTGTTAACACAGCCTACAATAGCCTGATACAGTTATCAACCTTGAGTTCACATGTTCTAAGAAAGAACCCCAGTTACTGTGGCATATGTTCCAAAGAGCCTTCAAGACTGGGGTAAAGCAGGGAGTTGCATTGTAACTCCGTGCCATTGGCTTCAAAAGCTACAGGTTTTGCTCCCACCAAGGATGTGCAGACCAGCTTCATGTGGCCGAGGGAGTGGTTTGAGGGAGACCAAGGAGGTGAGAGCAGTGAGATTCTATGGACAATACAAGGGGCTGGGACAAGGAGCCCTTTGGCGGCCCCTCCTTGGTTCTGTGCGCCTTCCAGAGCAGCTAAAGGCACGAGGTGTGGGCTTCACCCAGTCAGGGAGAAGGGGATAAAGAGGAAAAATAAACAGACTGAATGGGAGATGGACACAGAAGAGAAAATTTTTAACACAGTAATATTTTTCACTGCCTAGGCAAATAACTCTTGTGAAAACAGTTACATGAAAGCAATAGATGGTCTTGTTTTCACTTAGCACTCTCATAGGTTTTGAGACAAATGGAAATTTACATAAAATGAAAACACACAGGATCAAGGATTATGTACAATTCTGTGATTAAGGTGCTTTGCAATTCAGGCAATGTTCTGCTAGAAACCCCTATGGTTCCAGCTGCTGCAGATACTACAATATTTGAGGAGGCAAAGAGTAAACACATGGATGAAGAGAAAAATAATTCCGTACAGGAGGCTAAATAATCAAGACTATTACAAGGAATATAAATAATAAATTTATAATGTATTTCAGTACAAATAAGCATTTTCATTATAAAAACTGCATTTGCACAAAGAAGCTATTTAGTAACAAGTACAATTACACTATATTGGAAACAACTCAAAGCTGTATGTCTCACACAGACTAGTACAATGTCACAGTTCACAAGAAACTTTACTGAGAATAAGCCTTCACCTGAAGGCCAAGTCCTGGTCTGAAGCTGTCACAGCCTTTCCACTGAACCTCCTGGTTCAGGAAAGCTGTGCACAAGCTGTTGGAGATTCATCAGACTTGATGACTCCATCTTGGTTTTGCAAGACAAACTGTAATCTCAGGAGAACCAAAATGTAGGACTGAGGTAAAAATATACTAAACAAAGAACTTTTCTGTTGGCACAAAGGATGTGAATACTTTCCAAAATGTTGTTATATTTAACAGAATGGGTCTACCACATATTTATAACACTGGCAGAGATAAAGGGCAGACAGAGATAAAGGGCAGACAGATATTGATACATTAGCAAAAGCACTAATCTCCTTTCTCTCTCTCACTTCATGCCAATTTAAGTGCTGAAATCTCAGGTGTACCCAAGCTTGTCTACCTTTTATTGACTCTTTAATGTTTCCCATTTTTCACTCTTGATTCAGTAATACAGTACTTGCCCTGAAAGACATTTTTATTATCTACTTCTAAGTTACAGGATGCAGGCTCTGCAGGCTTCCCATATATCCAAATCATGTAGCAACTCCAGAACTATCAATGAGTTTGGGCCATAAATAAATAAAAACGTGGCTTTCTCCAGTGTCAAAAGCCAACCTGGTCAATGCCTGTTTGCTACCTCAATATAAGATCGCTAAGCAGGTTGGGTAGTGCAACAGACCTAGCAAGATATGTAATAAAGGAAACTAAGAAAAAGGTAGGTAGAAGGTGCCTCATTGATGAAAAAGCACCTGCTTCAACTACTCAGTTACTTTTAATTCACCTAATTTTGATTTATACAAAATACTATTGTATAAGTAAATAAGTGATATTACAATATAGGACAGCAAGGTTAATGTTTACTTTCTAAATGAAAATCATGTTTCCATGCACTTGGCTCCTGGAATAAATATAATATCCTTAAAATCCTATTGAAATGTTAATTTCAAATTATTTTAGTTTGACTTTTTTCCTTTAGTTTTACATTCAGTCATACTGAAAACAACCTAAAGGCCTCAGGTGGAATGAAAAAAAAAAAGAAAAGAAAAGAAAAGCAGGAAAAAAATGATTCTTATAGCCAGACTTTTAAACTTCTAATGAATTTTCTTCCCCAAGATGCTTCTCTTTGCTCATTCCATTTTTTTTAAAGTATTGCTGAGAAAGAAAAAAAAAATATATATATACATACACACACACACACACACACACACACACACACACCACTATTTGGGGTACAACTGGAAATTGGTCTTACATTTCTTAAAAGTTAAAGTAGATTTCTTCATTCCCTCCCCTTTATCAAATATTCAACTTTAAAAATAAATGATTGTATTACAAAGGAGGGGAGCTTATACCTGGTACAGAAAAGCCAAACTGAATCCTTTCTTAGTCTGTAGCTCTGAACTTGAGCTTAATGATCTTTGAAAACTCAATTCAGCTGATTATAAGAGAAAGAAATCCAGAGCCAGGAGGGCAGGCCCAGCTCAGCAATGATGCAGAAAAGCTTTCCAGGATCAGGGAGATGAAGCCGCAACCATCAGATCAACAGCACTCTGGGATAAGATGTGTCAGAGACCTGCCCTAAGGAAGGAAAGAAGATGAGCAAATTCAAGATTTTCCTAACCCCTCAGTTATCTGGTAGCCTCTAACTTGAGGTCGTGTTGCTGTCTGAAGAGAAAATTATTGGTGACTCTTGTTTTGAGGGGTGGAGAGGGTTGTCAAGCCATTTTATGAGGGTCTTTGGGAAAGGGTTGAAGGGCTGGGAGGACAATGAGATCCGATGTCCTTGGTCTGGTCAGGATCTCCCAGCTTCACAGCCGCCAAAAGCTGGTGACTTATTTTTTTGGGTAATCCTCACCTGAGAATATTTTTCTATTGATTTTTAGAGAAAGTCGGGAGGGGAAAAGACAGAGAAACACATCCATGTGAGAGACACATCCATTGGCTGCCTCCCACAAGAGCCCTGTCTAGGAAGCCTACAACCGAGGTACAGGCCCTTGACCAAAATTGAACCTGTGACCCTTCAGTCTGTGGGCTGACAGTCTATCCACTGAGCCAAACCGGCTAGGGCAAAAATCTGGTGACTCTCATGCTGCAGGATGAGGCTGTCAGGTAACTGAATTGGAAAGATGAAAAATAACCATCTCTAAAAATTAGATTCTGGCAGAATAAAAACCCCCTTTGTGTGAGTTTGCAACAGGCTCATTCAAGCACAGAAAGAGAGCAAGTTTCAGAACCGCTCCCTCCCGCCCGTGATCCCGTGTTCAAAGTTAATGGAAGAAAAGGGTTATCTAAACAGCCAGATAAGAGTACACTGCATATTTCTTTTTTAAAATGACAGAAACTTTTAAATTTCATAAGCCTGCACTACTTATTATTCTGTCTCGACTCAAGGGGTGTAGAATCAACTTTAGTCATCTTTCATAAGCTTGGAATCTAATTTTATGAATTTACTCTAAAACATAAATCAGAGGTAAGACAGAAGTAGATGGATGGATTTTTTTAAAAAGAAACTGGGCCTCCTGGGTACTTTTAGTAGATTGAGCACTGAGAGATTTACAGGGATAAAATTCTTTACAAGATTAAGAAAGAAGGAAATGAAACCAAATCTTTCATTTCCAGATACTCACTTTCATTAATTCCTTCACCAAAAGCACATCACAGAAGGAGAACCAGAAATATTATTATTAAAGTGGTTCAAGGCCAGGGAACCCCTTGAGATGAAAACAAAACAACACAGTATTCAAGTTTTCTTCACAAGACTACCTTGTACTGGCAAGACTTAGGAGACTTCCAGGTTGGGAAAGAATATTGCTGAGGGGACTTTTGGGGGGGGGGGAATTACTACATTTTGAAAGAAAGAAAAAATGTCTCCTGTAAAATCCCTACTGCTTTTTGAATCCCCAAAGGTTACAATGCTGCATTTGAGCTGAAGTTTTTGATTACCTAACCCCTTAAATCCTCTAAACGCACCTGATGTCAGCCCGGCTGCTATCTGGCCCTCTCACTAGGAAGCAATGTGAAGTGTGGGGAGCCTGCAGGCCCTGGCAGGAGAGCTGGAAATGGGACAGGTAAGAAATAAGACATAACAATGGAGATTTAGAGTCAAAACAAGTGCCAAGCTCTTTTCTACAATAATCCAGGGCCCTCTCCATTTCTCTAAAAAAGGGGCCCAGTACTACGGTGCCTGGTGTTTGTTATAGTTTGACAAAAGTAACTTAACACGAGAAGCAAGACTCCCGCTACACACGAGGTTGCTCAGCTGCTTTGCTTTCACTTTATGGGGCCTGCGGCCCTGTCAATGAACAGTCCTCATGAGGGCTGGGCATCCCTACCTCTGGTCAAAACTCTCTCGCCCAAAGTAGATGTACGTGTGCCCATCCCCAACCCCCAAGCATATCCTAAGACCACACATCCTGATTGTCATGCGTGAATGATACTCATTAATACACGTTGGGCTTAATGCCGAGACTACATGACTAAGATGGTTTTTTAAGAGAAGCTTGCTCAAGAAACAATGAGGATTTTGGTTTAGACTGCCGACACAGGGAAGCCGCACACTCCTTTCTCCTATGTTCTTGGATACAGTCTGTGAGCCTAAGGTCCCTTATCAGCATGCTGACTTTTGCGCTGCCTCAATGTGTCTTCCGTGTCAGATGGACGAGGCTGCCCAGGGGCATGTTCCTCAGGCTCAGTGGGTCCTCTGTCCTCCAGGGGCTCCCTCAGGGGCCCCTGGTCCTGGGTATCAGTCGTCTCCTCATCCGCACCAGCAGCCAGGTTGTCCTCCTCCTCGTCTTCCTCTGGTTCGTCCTCATCACCAAAGTCTTCTTTCTCTTCCTCGTCGTCTACAAGGCTGTCCTTGTTTTCTTCTTCATTTGAGTCATCTTTTTCATCCTCTGCATCCAGCAACTGTTCAGCCCTATGAGCCTCCTCTGACTTCCGACTCTGCTCTGTGGAGGGAAGAGAGGGGAACGGTCTCTGAATAAACAAGGATCAATCAGCAATCAATAACTATGTTTGGCTGTGAAATAAAGAAAGGGGCACATAACAGTTTTCTCCACCTTGAAGCTATTATTACCCAGGACAGATCTCTGGTTGGCGTCTTAGCCCAGCCCAGGAAGGCAAAGGTTCCCTCAGGCTTTGTATTTTGTACCTTGTAGAATCTGGCTCAGTGGCCCACTCACTAGCCATGGTAACTTATTCACCATATGACAAGCTGAGCCAATCAGAGTGTGTTAAATACATTTTCTTTTGCCCCAAATTGCTTTAAATTGGCTTTCTGTTACTTCTAAAAATTCTAAGGAATTTAATATACCTTCTAACTATTGTCATGTGCGGCATTACAACGTTTCAATCAAGGACATACTGCATATACCACAGCAGTGGTACCCTAAGAATATAATGGGACTAAAAAATTCCTATTGTAGTCGTCCTGTAGCAGAGCAAGGTAATTCTCGTGTGCCGGTGGAGATGCTGGGATAAATGCCTGCTCTGCCGCCAGCTGTAGAAAGTAAGACTGTACCATCTGTGTGTGTGCATGTGCACTCTGTGATGTTGCAGAAAAGACCAAATCACACCTAATGATGCATTTCTCATAGCATATCCATCTCATAGCACAGGACTTTATCTATGGAAGTCCCAAAGCATTGAAAACTTCAAAAATTAAAAAGAAATATAGCTTATTTAAACTCCAACATAAAATTCAACAAAGTCTCATAAAAGTCTTTATGCAAAGTTTCAAAAATAGAATTTAAAATATGCATATCCAGGCTATTTGATCTCAGAAACACAGTGAAATAGTACAAAGATTTGGGAAAACTTATTTTTGTAATTAAAATAATTTTAATTGATTTCAGAGAGAAGAAGGGAGAGGGAGATACAGAAATATCAAGGATGAAAGAGAATCATCAGTTGGCTGCCTCCTGCACACCCCTTTCTGGGTAGTTAGCCTGCAACCCAGGCATGTGCCCTGACCATTGGGAATGGAACCATGACTTCCTGGTTCATAGATAGACGCTCACCAATGAACAACACCGGCCAGGCAGGAAGACTTCTTTCAAAGCACTTAGAATAGTTACAGGCACACAATAAAGTCCTAATAAATGTGAATCACCACCCCCTCTCCCTTTTCATTCCAGTTTGAATGAAGAAAAGGGTGTCAATTGATTAATGAAGGGCATACACTTAAAGGGAAAAATAAATTGCCAAGATGAAAAATTCCTTAATTTAAGAGAGAAAAGATAATTTTGTTCAATTCTACATAGAGAACGTATTTTAAGGAATTTAGTGGTGGTGGTTTGGTAACCTAGCAAATCAAGGGGAAACCCACAACCTATCTGAGCAGGAAAGGGCACAACACAGAATTCCAAAAACACTTTTATTAACATGAGTTTATCACACTTACCGGAATGTTCAGATTCATGCCTTGGAAATGGCAAATAGAAACAATCTGATATTAATACCAAAACCTGGAGGGGGAAAATGTTATTTTATAGTGAGTAGGTAGGACATGAATTTCAAAAAAATCTTAAAATTAAGCCTTGTTTCTAAAAGTCCTCAAAACAGAAAAGGGTATATGTAAGAATTTCCTATTTATTTAAATGTGATACAGTATAGGGAAATGCTAATATTTGAGAACAGGGGTCACAAAGGCAAATGCCTAAGAGAGCCCACTAAAAATAGATGAATCAAGTGGGTATAAGAAAATAGACACTATCAGCCAAGTCTAAACTGGCCTTTAAAAAAACTTTCTTCTGGAAAAACCGAACTGGTCTGTACATGGGCTTCCCTTCACCATAAACAGTAATAATATTTCCTACACCAGTATCTTAAAGGTATCCTAAAATTTTAAAGAACTCAAAGTCATGGTCCTTTTGATTCAATTTTATAAATGTCAAATGAGTATCCCACATTTTGTTAAGAATTATTACCACCTATATTTTCATTTATTAATTTAATCAATATTTGGTTCGTTAACATCTGGGGCAAGATTCAAAAAGAGAAAAAATGGCAGTTTAATTATAAATCAATATACAATAGAACAATTGAGCTTCATAAGAAAAATGAACAAAGCACTTTGATAGATACTTAAGAGATACAGAGATTACAACTATTGGGAAGGATCAAGAATGCTGCATTTGAAGAAGGCACTTCTAAGGCCCTGGGCATAGTTGGGAAGAGCTGGGTGGCAGCAGAGGTCTAGCTCCTTTGAGCTACACCAAATTGAGTCATGGGGGCGCTTAGGTCCAGAGAAAGCTCTGAATGCCAGTCTGAAGAGACCCACCTTCTTATAAAGGAATAACATCCTATGTCACTTAATCGATTGAACAGTATTAAATCAATTCCCTTCTTTCTTTGGGTCAAGCCTCTAATAACCTTCCTTCACTGATTATTTAAATCTGTTTCCAAATGAACTTAGGACAGAGGCACATCTGACATGACTTCTTGGGTGTAAAAGTCAACCTCAAAGATAAAACTCTACAACTTCATACTGAGAAGACTTTCCATGGTCTTGCATTAGGCTCACATTCAACCTACATTCTCCATAGCTCTACCTAAGTCTTCAGGGATCTCATATTATTCCTAAGAACCTCATGCTCCTGTGGCTGCAGAATATACTACCAGAAAAATCTAGGACAAGAGGGTAGATGGGAGAAGTACATTTACATCAAAGGTCAAATTTATATCCAGAATCAAATCCGTTTAGGCCAGAGCATTAGGGGCACCTTAAGAGCAGTATGATTAGGGCAGCAGAATGGAACACACCTAGGACCTAATGAATGATATATCTAAGTTCTACCCCCGCCCGTGAGTTAACATTTTAGTCAAATCTTTTTATATACATTTTTAGTAATCTTCACTTATTCCTATCATAAAGTAGTTAGGAGCTATGTGGTTCATACATATTGTAAGGGCTTTTAAGAATTTATTTTAATTAGCTTAAAGCTTAATCAAATTGATCAAATGTATGTAAAGAGAAAAATTAAATTATATCGAAGAATAAAGCATGCCCCAATACTTATAGTTGTCTATATAGATAAATAAATTTGATAATCCAACTCTAACTTAAAACATCTAGGGAGAAAATGCACAGATACCTACTAGATATGTAAGCACTAGCTGTGCTTTGCATCTGATTTTTTTTTTCCTCACAATATTGACTGTGTTGTTTTTTTTGTTTTTTTTTTATCAACATTATCTTATAAAATCGGAAAGAAGAGAGTGTATGTGTAAGCAGCTGGCCGGGATTAGAGGTTTAATTGGAGGATGTGAACAAGAAAAAAAATCTCATTCACTGGAGGAACAAATCCACAGCGTTGGCTTTATCACCACAGAGTTCTAACCAAGTAGGCAATGTGTGAAATCACCGCTGATGGGGTTGTCTTGCAAACTATCAATTCAAGTATGGTCTCAACTTTTCCTTTTATCACTGCTTATATTTTGGGCAGCACACATCTTCAGAAAATATAAAGGATATAATTAAAAGATATTGATTTAATGAATTTTTCATTATTTCTCAAATTAGCATTGTAAGCAGTATCAAACAAGTAAATGCTATTTAACTGCTTAGATTACACACAAAATAATGTTTGTTTATGTATTGTTTTTTTCTATTGGCTGCTTTGCAGTTTTGCATAAAACCTATTAAGCTTTAAGGACAGGAAAAAAGATTGGCATTATCTCTTACCAGACCCATAAGAAGGCCAAAAATCAAGGTGGCTATGACGAAAATGACATAAGAACACCAAGCAGGCATTCCAAGGGTCACTGTGAAATAGTTGTGAAGATGCTGTAATCAAAAGAAAAATTATTTATAATTAGGACAAAAAATGTTTAAATCTATCTTTCCAGCTATAATTCAAGTCTGCAAACTGTTTCCACATAGAGGAGCTCCCACAAAGATCATTCAGTGGTTTATGCATATGCTATTCCTTAGAACAAGTCAAGCTTTACAATATCAGGAATCTGAGAGTATGCTCAAGTTATATCTGGTAAGAGTTATTGTTCTTTGTGGTTCATGATCTGATAGAACTCTGGTAGAATTGTTTTTCTAGTCCCTTCTTCTACAATGATAGATTTTTTGGTCACTCTCTGCTAATAATAATATATACCTCAATATTTACTTGTAATATGGAATCCATAAAAAATAAACTTGTTGGGCCTTGACCAATTGTTAAGTAGAACTAAATACTTAGAAAACATTCATTTTAAATGCATCCATACTTCCTCCTTCTAGTCAGACTCTCATTTCTCTACCTCTACCCATCCTTAGCAACATTTCTAAATCACCATAAAATCTAAAATGTAATATTAGACAGAAGGTGTTTTCAGTTCATTTATTATGAGGAAATGAGTAGAGGCTTTGAGTAGAGAGTGCACATCCTTTATTTTTACTATTCCCCAGAACTCTGTTTGATACCAAATAGTAAAAAGAGAGAGAGCAAGAGAGAGAGTGAGAAAACGATACAATCTGAGTGGAAATTATTTCCATGCTAAAATCACACAGCAGTTACAGAAATGAACTGGTAGTTTGAAATCAATGCCTACTTAGATGGGGACTTGCAGGAGCCATGCTTCCTCATGAAGATTTAGTGATTATAGGTTTCAGGCCATTACAGCTTCAAGAACAGCCATTCACAATGTACTGGGCACACAGTAAAATGTCTCCAAGCTAAATGTCATCAGCAGGCAGAGATAACAAGTGAATGACTTGCCTAGAACAACTAGAAACGAGTCCAAGTTTCCATTTTAATGCAGTATTTCTCAAAATCTACATTACTCAGCTATGTTTCTCAGCTTATAAATGTCAACACAATTACATAATATTTACTTTGGCTTAAATCTGAATGATCAATAAACAAAAAAGTTTGTTCAATTAATCTAGAATAATCTGAGATCTCTTCCATCCAATCTCTTATCCAGCTGAAGAGACAGATATAAAGACTCAGCAAGTACTTTAAACACTGATCCTTATAAAAAATATTTGTTAATTTAAATATACTGGCAAATCTTTAAACTATTCATAGCAAATGCAAATAATCTGAATTTGTAACACTGTCATCTATAACTCTGTTGTATACACTGGTCTTTATTCTATCTTCAGCCAAGGCAATTGTTTATTGAGAATAATCCAGCATTCTGGAACCCAGCAGGCAAAAGAAGTATTGGGATTTCAAATGTTGTTTTAGTCAAATCCTTTTCAATGGAAGTTCTAAATACTACACAGGTTCCTACTTTAAAAATTCTCTGTATTTAACATAGTTAATGCTTTGGTTGATGACTCAGTGAGGTGATCAGGATTAATCCCTGAAATGTGCCAAAGCATTAGAAGATAGAGAAAGCCAGTCTGCCTTTGAGCTGACCTATGGACGTAGTATTCAGGAACTTGCTCTATAAAAAATATCTGCCCATTTGCCTTACTCATGTGGTTGGAATGAGTAATGTGCAGTTATAAATCCTTCTAGACAGCATCATATGCCCTTTCTGCAAAATAAATGATTAAAGTAACCCTCAGAACCTTTCTATTTTCTAGAATGCAATAAATCATCTGCCTTTGTGTCACTGCATTCTGAGTCACACATTTCTTAGCACATTCAAAATACCTGCTTATTTTAATAAGCTCCACTTCAGTGTTCTTCTACCTGATGATACTTTGGAGGATTTATGTGAGCTTCTTAGAGAAATCCTGACAGAGCACTGGTAGAACGTGGTCTTATAGGTGATTACTACTAAAGTCTCATTAATCAAGTTTTGTTTTCACAGCTGCAGACATAAACCTTTATCTGTTTATCTGACACCATAATGGTTTTAGACCACCTGAGTGTTAAGGTACTTGATTCTAGTTACTTGAAGTTTTTATATATAGACTAGAGCCCCAGTGCACAAATTCATGCACCAGTGGGGTCCCTTAGCCTGGCCTGCAGGATTGGACCAAAACTGGCTCTCCAATGTCCCCTGAGGGGTCCCAGATTGTGAGAGGATGCAGGCTAGGCTGAGGGACCCCACTGGTTCATGATCAGGGCTGGAGGGACATAGGAAAGCTCCAGGGCATGTCTGGCGCATCTCGCCCAGTCCCAATAGGCCAGACCCCAACAGCAAGCTAACCTACTAGTTGGAACATCTGCCACCTAGTGGTCAGTGCATGTCATAGCGAGTGGTCAAACAGTTGACTGTTTGCCCCCTGGTGGTGAGTGCACATCATAGTGAGCAGTTAAGCACCCTTGGCATATCATCAGCACATTATGCTTTGATTGGTTGAACAGCCGACTAGGTGAATGGGCACTTAGCATATTAGGCTTTTATCATACAGGACGTTTCCAGAGAATTAGTGATTAAAATTTATCAAATTCAGGTTCAAATTTCTGTGTTTCTGTTTCTATAACTGCCTGACAATGACAGTTTTCACCTGAGGAAAATACTGATGATTCTTGTGTGTGTTCATACTAGGAAGCATTCTACTGTTTCCTTAAAATAGTTTTGTTGCCTGAGGGGCCTGACATCTTATTATTGATGACTGATTTAGAGCCAATTTTGGGTTACATACAGTTTTGAGTAAGAAGACTGAATGAAGATACCATTAGAAGTAAAATATATAAAAACATTCCAACCAGTGGCCAGATGAATTTAAGCAATGGAGCCAGGACAACACATTCACAGATCAGAGCAGAGCCCTCCTTTCCCAAGGAGGCCAGCACTCCCTCTGGGACCTGAAGTACTGCAGCTGACATCAAATGCTGCCCTCAACATATCTCGATGTGCATGAGAAACAGAGAGTTTTCTTGAGCTCCTTGAATATTAAGTTCTAAAAATGACACTGTGATCTACACAAAGCTTAGAAAGACAAATATAGGAACTCACTTTGAGGACTTAGAATACTTTAAGACTATATATAATTCCAGAGCAATTGTGCTAAATCTGGCAGGATTTAGCTCACTCTACACATAAAGGGGAGCACAAGGTTTTGTGACACATTCAAAATTACATAATTGCCCAAAGTTTTAACTAAATAATAGTTTGAATTCACTGAAATGACAGTGAAATGACACAATCACATATAGCAAGAGTGTCAAAACTTTTTCCTGAAGGGGCAGAGAGCAAATATTTTAGGCTTGTGGTCTTATTAAGCCACATGGGTCTCTTTCACAGCTACTCAACTTTCCCACTGTAGAGTGAAAGCACCAGGTAATGAATGAACATGGCTATGTTTCAAAAACAGGTGGCTAGCCCACACGCTATAGTTTGCTGATTGCTGGCATACAAATTCACTTTTGGGCTTACTCTTCGATCTACACGAGATTATGACAATGGGAATCTAAAATGAAGTAAAACCACATAAGCCTGATTCACCTTTACTAAAGAGATTCAACTCTGATCTAAGAAAGTATGACTTTGACACAACTGTGTCATTGTTCAATTTATGCCTTTCTACACAAAGACACAGTTCCATTGGGGATCCTTGTGACAGTAATTGTATTGCTTAATAAGAAAAGTGAAATTATAAAAGTATTTACAATGTTTATTTTCCTATGATTTAAAAATTATATTCTTACTCTTTAAAAACCCTCTGAAAAGATAATCACAAAGGGTATATTTAAAATTACTTACCCATATCTTGCCAGAGATGCTAAAAAGGCCAGCCATTCCAGACATCCTAAAAAACAGAGAGAAGGAGAACCATTGGTGATGCATACTATGAAAAAAACAAAAACTTAGGTCTCAAGGATCTGCCCTTCCATTCTCTGCAATATATTGTCTTCTCTCCTGGATTTACTTGTGTTCGTAGCTTCAGCTCCACAGCCACCATTTCAGTCACTGCTGTAAATACATTCAAATCCCCTAGCCCCTTCTCCCTTCACTGTACACACCTGGCAAAACCCCAACTGTGGGCAGCTGCCTGTCTCTGGGGAAAATCAGCTGGCTGTTCTCCCTCCAGTCACAAACCTGTTTGTGCCTCAGTACTGCACTTTCAGACTCTACACGACAGGGCAGCTCCTGTGCTTTTCCCTTTCTTCATGCATTTCCACCCTCCTCTCCCTGGGCACTCTCAGCTCACACACACTCCTCACATGTCACTGCGAAACCAGAAGCCATATGTGATCTCTCTTATCTTCTCACCACCCAATCTGAGCCTGGCATTCCCCTGCATGCACCTTCTCTTGTTTCCACAGAGAGAGTCAGTCTGCCCTCCCACAGTCTAATTCCTCCTCGTGGGCCTTGCATCCCATCCCTTTGGCTGAGTAATGTCTTGGCTCTTTTTGTCAGCCCCTCTGCCTGCATTAGCAATTTCTTCCTTTCTGCTGGGTCATTCTCATCTGCCTGAAAACATGCTCTACCCTCTCCATCTTTTATAAAGAGCATCCTTGGACTCTCCAGCTTCTCTTTTCCAAGGAGTAGTCCACACTTGCTGTTTCTTCTTCCTTACTGTACCTTTAACCCATTCAAATCTGCTCCTGCCCTCACTACTGCAGTATCACTAGTTGTGAAAGCCACAATGACCCTGCAATTGCTTCATTCAACGTCCATGTCTCAGACTTGATCTTCTTTCAAGTCTTGGTAACACAGGACACAGTTCCTACTCTACACTCTTGAGCACCAATTTACTTGGCTTCCAGGAAACAACATACCCCTGCTTGTCCTCCTGACTCACTGGCACTCATTTTTAGTTTCTTGACTCCTTTTGCTGAGCCCTTCTCGATCAAACTTCTTAATTGTGGGTGTCTTGTGGCTAGGTCCCAATCACTCTTCTCTGATCGCCTCCCTCCCAAGCAAGGCTTTAAATACCATCAGTATGTTTTGTATTTGTGCCCCTGAATTCTCCAAGGACCCATCTCCATACATTCAACTTGACAGCTCTACAAAGAAACCTGCATCTCAAACTTTAACACAGTTAACACTGAACTCTTGCTTTTCTCTTGCTCAAACCAATAAGATTCAAACCAGAAACCCAAGAGATTTTTTGTGAATCTTCCCTCTCCTTCACCTTCGCCGTCTACCTGCAAAGTATTTTAAATCTACCCATTCTCTCCATCCCACTGCTGCCACCCTGCTAAACCCTAGCACCATCCTTAGGCTAGACAGGGCAACAGCCTCCTAGCTGTCTGACTTCATCCATTCTTGCCCTCCCCAGTCTCTTCTCTGAAGAGCCACCTTGTCATTGCATGCACTGATAGCATCCAGGTTCCTCAATGCGGTCAAAGGCCTGCATGAGCTGGCTTCTGCCTGCCCCCCTTTCTCAACTTATGTATATATAACTACTCTCCCCACCAGTCCCCGTCTTGACCCCGGAACCTTTCTGCTCTCAGCATACCACGCTCTTCCAAATTGGAGCCTAGCACCATGTCACACCCGTTCGTTCCTGGGAATGCCCCTCCCTTGCTCTTCACGCAACTCGGTTGTTCTGTCCTTCAGGTGTCACTCTAGTCCTCCCCTCAGAGCGACCTCTCCTAGTCTCTCATCCAGCAGAGGTCCCTGCCCCACAGTGATTCCTTGCCTTAGTAAAAGTTGTTTTTGTTTGTTTTGTTTTAAACAGCCTAAGATTCTTTATATCCCTGTTTTTTTTCTGTGTTTTACTTTCAGTTGCCTGAGGGGAACAGAGGTGCATGCCCATCTTTTACACTTTTGAATATCTATCACCTGGAACAGTATCTGGCATAAACTCATCTCCAATATTGGTGGAATGAAAAGCTGCTTTTACGGCAGACTAAGAAACGTATTTCCTGAGTATTATTTAAGTGCTATTTATGTGATGTATTTCTGAAATATTACATCATTTAATCTTTTTTTCAGCAGGGATATTCCTTATACTTGTATATACTAACAAAATTAATTACAAATATGATAACTCATTCAAAATTAAAACAAACTATGGGAAAAGTTATTATGGATTTGCCCTATCTATCTCACCAATTATTATGCAGTTCGCCCTCACGGCCGTAAGTTACCCAGTAATATTCTGCTAGGCAGCTAGACACCATCAGTTTTATTTTCCACATTGATACAAGAGTAATTCCTTCATTAACTGTAATTCAAGAAAGAGTAACTCCCATATCTTATCAATATTTTAAAAGGAAGAAAGAATGGTAACTATGTTCAATACCATATTTTGTAAAGAGAAAATAGTTGGCCCTGACTGGTTTGGCTCAATAGATAGAGCATTGGCCTGCGGACTGAGGGGTCCTAGATTCGTTCCAGTCAAGGGCATGTATATTAGTTGTGGGCATATCCCCAGTAGGTGGTGTGCAGGAGGAGCTGATGGGTGTTTCTCTCTCATTGATGTTTCTTATTCTCTATCCCTCCCCCTTTATCTCTGTGAAAAATCAATAAATTAATTTTTTTTTTTAAAGAGAGAGAAAACAGTTGACATGCTTAGTGAAAAAGTTAGGGGTGACTTTCTGCAACCCACCTGAAACTGGACAGTTACTCCCCAGTATATTAACAAGTAACTGAAACACCTGTGGGCCATAAAACCCAAAACACAACATGGTCTAAGCATGGTCATATGTAGCCTGGGTAATCAGAAGTGAATATGAAGAAAAACGTAGACTTTCAAGGTCTATGAACTGTTCATTTGATGCCGCTTGTGTCATTAATAAGACTCCATTAAGTAAAATTGCTAGTTACGTTAAAGAAGCCGGGTATTTCCAGCCAGTCAGAGGCTCAACTGATTGCCACTTCTTCTCTAAGATATAATTCTGCAGTTCTTCGTAGATTCCTGAGCCACGGTAACGACGGAATATCCCATCCTTTGCACTATAAATTATAAAAACAAATAGAAAACCAAGAAATTAAAATCACAAGTGTTGCAGATAATCAAAATAACTATTAGTTTTACATGTGAACTACTCTGAATGTTAACTTGGCTTAAATAAAGAAAAAATATAACTAGGTATAAATACGAAAGCATGCATAAATATTAATCTATTACAAATGAGAAATTGAGAAAGCACTCTAATTTATTACTGCAAAATTCATGAGCATAAACAAAGTTCTTGACAAGTTACTTTTTATTATTTTTGCTACCAAGTATTTCAATGTTTCTCTTACAACAGCAAAACAGCAGATGTTATTAAGTTTTAAAAACTGTATCTACATTTCTAACTTCTGTCATTTAAGTCCCTCCTTGAAAATGAACAAAACACCTCCCTTTCACATACCCCTTCAGGCTTCCCAGCTCCTGCTTTCTCCCCAGCCAACCTTTCTAAGAGCAGAGTCTACACTCACCACTTGCTCCTTAGATATTACTCATTCACATGCCGTGCGACTTAGGGTTATGCTTCATGACTCCATGGAAACTGTTCATATGGGGGAGAGTCCACCTCCAGACAGCATTTTCCTTTTGTCTGGCACTGGCCCTCCCCACTACTGAACACGCCTCCCTCCCTCTCTCCCTTGGCTTTTGAGCTCTCCGGACTTCTTCCTCCTATTCTGACCACTCCTCCTCGTTCCTTACTCCCTGCCTTAAGGTTGGTCAACCCCAAGTTTTATCCATGACCTACTTCTATTCCTGTTGCATACATTCTCTCTAAATATATTTTAACTCTTATCTTGATTCTGGGAAATTCCCAATATGTATCTCCAGTCTAAATCTTTCTTTTGAGCTTTAGATCCCCAAATCAGACTATCATCTAAACTTTTCTATTTGAAATTAGCATAGTCACTTCACACTATCTTCCCCATCTTGGCCTCTATCCTCCAAAACTCATCTTATGCTAATAGCTCCTCAATAGCTGTTACTAGAGACACATGGCCTATTGGTAGTCATCTCAGGTTTTCCTTCCTTATGGCTAATTGGTCATCAAGTCCCAATGATCCCACCTCCTAAGCATCTCCAGAACCCATCCCTTCCTTTCTCTTCCCCCTCTCACTACCTGAGCCTCCCTAACTTCAATCACCCAGGATGATCCAAATATGCCCTCCAGGCCAGCCATTCAGAACTCATTCCAGTTCTCAGAAGGCAGCACATTTTCTTCGGGGCTTTTCCATGGCATCTCTATCTGGAAAGGTCTTCTCTACCGTGTTTATTTAACCAATTCTGACTTATCCTTTAAGAATCATCCCACCTTTTATGTCATCAGAAAGATCTTCTTTGACCCTTCCACCCCCAATCAGCTGCTAATAGCTATCATTCCCACAGAGCTGTCTTTCTCTTCCAAATGCTGAGCTAAATGTGTAAAGGTTATGGAAAACAACTTAGAATTCTTGGTACACATCTACAAATTTATAATATTTACCAGTCCAGATAAATATTTCAACTTACTGAAAAAATGTTGGGAGAGTGGTGACAAAGAAGCGGCCACTCAAACCTACAAGAAGAATAAACAAAAAAAGTTACAAGTCAAACTCCCACTAACCCAAGCATCTAACTTAATTTTTAAGAAGCAGCAGCCTAAGCTGGCTTGTATATATCAGAGAGGAATGGAGAGGAAGACAGAGATAGAAACATTAATGATGAGAAATAATGATCGGCTGCTTCCTGCATGCCCCACATTGGGGCTTGAGCCCGCAGCCTTGGCATGTGCCCTGACCAGGAATTGAACCATGAACTCCTGGTTCATAGGTCAATGCTCAACTACCACTGAGCCATGCTGGCCAGATGAGCTTGCTTTTATACAACAGAATTAAATCACGTATACTATTTATTTTTTTACTTAAATTTTAATTTTTACCCATTTTCGTTACCTAATACTTTCCAGTCAGTGACATACAGCTTGCTTATTCTGATGTTACATAGGAGTTTTCTGGCTTGTGCATCACTTAGAATTTTATGGTGGCTGACAGAACAGGTTATAGTCATGCAGTTACTATATGACCTTAGATAAATTACTTAACCTCTCTCACCTTAAATTGTTTACCCTTTCTAGTCTCAGTGACCTCATCTAGAAAATGGGTATATTAAAGCCTCACTGAATTGTTCTGAAGTTAGACTAGCTCAGTATATTAAGTACTTAGCACATAGTAAAGAACTTATTCAATAAATTATAGGTATTATTAGATCCGATGTAGGTTTTAAAATAATAAAGAATCTGAAACAATAATACCATGTATAATCTTTGCACATTTATAAAATTTGCAAGTACTGTCCAAGGACAGTACATTAAACAGATTTTCTCAAATTTTCAGTAAAGCAAATCTTTACCGGACACTAACTAGACATCGAATGCTATGCGAAGTGTATGTGAAGACAAATAAAACCCTTAGTAAGTCAGCAAATATTTACTAATTACCTTCTTTGTTCCAGGGACTGTCATAGCTGCTCGAGACACTAAGATAAGTAAAAACATGTCCAGTCTTGGTTCTCACAGAGCTTACAATCTATTTAATGGCAGAGGGAAAGACCTTGATACTTACAATCATAACTGTAAATGGAAAGGTGATATCAAGAAAGGGGCATGCAACCAAAGCCTGAAGGAGACTAGGAGTAAAGGACAAATCCCTGCTCTTTATATGTTTACAAACGAAAGTATTTCCGTGGGCACCAAGAATGAGCACGCCTTCTCCTGGTTAAGAGAAGGAGAGGGAAAGGATGTTCCTGGCCAGCATGGGGAAATGACAGAGACATCATTGTCACATTTCTCATGACTTCTGACTTTCCCACTGAAGAACAATTTGGACAAAATCAAAATCTATTCAGATAAAGTAGATCAAATGTCACATCTTCGTGGTTGTTTGCGATTTGAAATGCTGAAGGTTTACTTTCAATAACACACAAAAGTTGCTTATACCCATTTTATAAATTAAATTTTATTCAGCATAATAATATATTAATTAGTGATGAGACTTTCCAAAGAAGAAATTGCTTTTTTTTCCTTTCTCATATCAAACCACACAGACTAAAACAGCCCTATGGCACTTAAAAGAAAACACAGTACTATGAAGGCAGTAAAAGTCAGTGTTACAAAAAGAAACATTTACTACATTCATTTATTATATTACAGAAAGATAACAGCTACATTTCCAAACCTACTTTCTTTTTATCCTTGTAAAGGAACACAATAGAAAATAAATGTAGGTAGGAAAAAATGCCTAATAAGTTTGAAAATAGTCACATTTGAAATAGAATCATCAACACCCAACTTTAACTTTTATTTACAGTGATTTTTAAACTACAAATATAAATTGTGTATATTGTTTAAGAATTTAAAAGATTCCTCTAGCCTCCTCCTCTTTCTTCTGAAAAGTACACCATTTAACATATAATAAATATAGCTGTATTAGAAATTAGAATTAGAAATTCATCATTCTGGAACTCACAATGAAATATTTGATTCAGGTAAGATCATTATGTATCTCCCCAAAGTATCACCCCACAGATTACCTGCTAATCACAAAGTGGGATATTTTCTTTATAATTCAGACATTTAGTGTCATCACCTTCACCAAGTGCTCAAACTGAACATCACTAACTGAGAGTACATGTCTTCTGAAGGCATCTGCATATATAAAAGGTTAAGCAATCATCCAACTCGCCAACCAGCCAGTATTATGACATGCACTGACCACTAGGGGGCAGATGCTCAACACCGGAGCAGCTGAGCTGCCAGTGATTTGGCAGCAGAGGTTCTTGGGTGACACACTCAGGAACTAGAGAGGAGGGAGCCCAATCCCTGCAGGCCAGGTCGAGGGACCCCACCTGCTGGAGAGACCCCACTCACTCCACAGACACTCTTCGAGCCCTGGTGCAGCCCCAGGTGCAGCTGGCTGGAGAGGGAGTGCAGGAGGTTGGCTCCAGGGCATGTCCAGCCTGTCTTGCCCAGTCCCGCCCCACAGGCCACCTTCTAATTCAATCCCTTTCACTGTGCACAAATCCATGCACCCAGCCTCTAGTAAGTTATAAAGCACAGTATCACCTATGAAATATTCTTGCCATACATGTCCAACCTGAATCATGCCTCTAGGCTGAACTTCAAGTTTACAGAAAATATAAAAAAACACCTAGGCATACCTCTGGCCTATTCTTTTCAGAATATCAGAGGACTATTCTAATTAAGGGCGACTGAAAACATGTAATAACTAAATGCAAATGGTGAACCTTGATTAGATTCTGGGTCCAAAAACTATAAAAAGACATGTGGGAAATTATTAGGGAGATTTTAATATGCCAAAGTATTGAAGGTCAAATCATGATGTCTGCGACTTATTTTCAAATAACTCAGCAAAAGAAAATAATAAAAAATATATTAACAGCCGAAACCGGTTTGGCTCAGTGGTAGAGCGTCTGTCTGCAGACTGAAAGGTCCCAGGTTCGATTCCGGTCAAGGGCATGTACCTTGGTTGTGGGCACGTCCCCAGTGGGGGCGTGCAAGAGGCAGCTGATCGATGATTCTCTCTCATCGATGTTTCTAACTCTCTATCCCGCTCTGTTGATTCTAGATGGTCAGTTCATTAGTATCACAACTTTTCTATATACTTGAAAAAAATTCAAACTAAAAAGTAACAAACTTTTGCCTTTAATGTTCAGCATTTACAGTACCTGGTTCTTGAATGACATCGACCTTCCCCACACTGATATGAAGGAGTTCACCATTCTTTGCAAATGTCTCCCATTCCGAATCAGTCTGCTGGCAGGATGGACACCAAGGAGCATAACTATAAAAGAAGAATAGCTAATCAATATAAAAACATGGAAAATATCTGTAAAACAAAATAGATAAACTACCTAAGTTAAAAAGGTAAATATCTGTCTAAAAGGAAGCACAAAAGCAAGCTTTTTCAGTCATTTGATATAGAAAAACAAAAACATATTTCCCTAGAATTTAATGTATGAATATTAATTCACTGGGAAAAAATTAGCCAAAGTTTGAGAAGATTTTCACAAACTACCATAATACATAAAATATTTTATTTCAAAGTTTTTCTTACAATCAACCCAAATTTTGTCACTTTCTAGGTAGCTTCTGATTTTTTAGGGAGAATACTATATTGACTGCCCCACTAAAGAAGGACAACTTTCACAAGTGCATCCCTAAACTAGCCAAACCAGTTACAGGTCCATCAAAACTACAAAGCTGATGAGCAGAAATCAGAACATGTTACTAGTGGGTTCCCAAATATTTATGCGAGTCATTTCCAAAGATCTGCGGCAGTTCTGAACCAGTCCAGAAAGAAAGTAGAAGCTATGGCCTAAACGAGTTTTACTCTTCTTAAGTAGAAGAGTTAGAAATAAGTGGGACTTTAATCAGAACCCTGGTTTTTACATTTTTTTTTATTTTATTCCATAAACCTGATTTGCACACAATACTGAAGTTGAGGCTACAACTGTGAACAAGACAGATGTGGTACCGCCTCCCTCTCCTTGTAGATACAATCCAGAGGTGGACACTGGCAATGGCAAGCACAGGGATAATTAAACCTGGTGGCAAATGCCATGACTGAGAGTATGGAACAGAGGCTGTGTAGACACTCAGGAGCTGGGTGGTCTCAGAAGGGCCCATAGAGGAGCATGCATCTGTGCTAAGTTCTGAAGTAGGAGGGTAAGCCCAGAGGGGTCGAAGAATGTTCTCTTCTAAGTAAAGAGAACAATGTGTATAAAGTTCAGAGTAATGAGAACGAGGGTGAAGACATCATTCACAACCTTTGAAAACACTGTATAAAGAGTTAGGACTGTATTTGAAGCTCCACTGTAAACCCTAAAGAGTAAGAGAATTATGATCAGACTTATATTTTTTAAAAATAACTGGGAAAATATCACAACATTCACACCACAAAGCTCTAAAGTGGTCCAGGATTTCACCTACAGATATAAAATGGAAATCCAGACAAGTGTGCTATTTAGAAAGTATAGGGGATCGAATAGTACCCTCTAAAAAGATACAAATACCAGGGAACATCTCCTAATTCAGCTTAGGAGACGAGGGCATGGGCCAAGTGTGGATCAAGGAGCAAGAGAGAAACAAGGGGGCAATAAGGAAGCAAGAGAGAAAGAACGCTTTGTCTGGGACTTTAAACTTCCAGGATCCCATGCACTTGTAGTGGCTCCACCCTTCTAGTCAAATCACTGTTCCCAGGCTAGGCTACTGAGCAAGGACCTTCCCGAAGGTCACATGGGCTTCACTGCACATATGCCCACCTCCCCCTTTGTTTGTCCCTTCCCCAGGGATGTGCAGGGAATGGATCCATGGTTACCGGGAGCTTAAAGTGGGAGCTGCCCAGATGTACATGCTTATAAAGTCTGGTCTCCTCTTTGCTCTCTTCCTATTATTAATACAATAAACTAGCTAATTACAAGGTTACATTTGGGCAGGGTTATAATCACTCTATGCCTCAGTTTCTTCAACTATAAAATGAAATAACAACAGCTGTCTTTTAAGGTCATTGGGAGATTAAATGACACATATAAAGCAGGCACATATCAAGAACAATCATTAATACAAAATATGTTTGTAATATACTACTTGGTTTCTGATTTTCACAAAATTCAACCAAGTAAATTTAGAGATCTGCTTTGCTATATTAAGCTATTCATGAATTGGGCAGCACCCCATCTACGAACAAGAAGGGTGCTCTGTGGGGCTGCACAAAATGAAAGTTTTTATAAGAAGAAGAGTGAGCTAAAGAAGCTATTAAAAGAAAAGGATGGCCAAAACCAGTTTGGCTCAGTGGACAGAGTGTCGGCCTGCAGACCGAAAGGTCCCAGGTTCGATTCTGGTCAAGGGCATGTACCTTGGTTGCGGGCAGTTGGTTGGTCTATCTCTCTCATCGAAGTTTCTAGCTCTCTCTCTCTCCCCCTTCCTCTCTGTGAAAAATCAATAAAATATATTTAAAAAAAAAAAAAAAAAAAAAAAGAAAAGGATGATTTTTTAAAACCAGGATATCTTTTTTTTTTTGAGGAGAAAGAACCTGAATGAGTTGGAAGGTTTTTAATCATGCAGATTGCCTCTTTTTGGAGGGACAGTGCAGGTAACGGACAGATGACCTCCGTACTTGACTAGAAAGTTCCAGACTGGCTGATTGAGATTATGTTTCTGGGAGAGGCTGAAACTGCAATTAGGTCAGGTATTAAAGCTAAGTTGGTATCATGGGCCTTCAGCGCCAGTAATGCCACTTTGTTCCTGTGGTTTTCTCTTTAACATCTTCAAGGCATTTTCCTGACACCTCAGTTCATCTGAACCTTACAGCATCGCTGTCAGACAAGACAAGTTTAGAGAGACTTGTTTAAGGTCACCTAAAACCACACAGAACAACACCCAGATGGAGATCTCTAAATTTACTTGGTTGAATTTTGTGATAAAAATCTCTGAGGAAAATAATGGCTAATATCAACAGAGAGGGAAATTGAAGGGGAGAGGAGGAAGGAGAGAATAGGGGACAGGAAGGGGGACAGAGGGAGAGAATGAAGGAGGAGAGAATGAAGGAGAAAGAGAAAGAATAAAAAATAAGAAAGAAATCTTGAAGTGCAGTTCAATAAACTTTAGATCTCTAGATTCTCTTTGCTTTGTTTCCCTGAATGCTTGCTTTTGCATGTAACTTGTGGACACATTTTCTACTTCAATAATTATTAAATCATGCAAATTTACCTTTTAAAAAGTCCCTAATCTCTAGAGAGACTACTATATAAATTGTTTCTTTGTTTTTGTAATATTGACTCTCAGATATATAAATACCATTGAAGTAATTTTAGATATTCCATTTTCTGTGTAGCTTCTACCTACTGGTCTGCAGCACTGTTAATGCCATTCTCTCTGAGATTTCATCTGAGCTGACTGTGTTGGAATCCACCAATATCATTCATTCACCTGGTGTGTTCTTTTGGTGGAGATAAGCCAGCTTCAAATCTCAGGTGTGGAAATCGGTCTTTTGTTGTAGAAGCGTTTTAAATTATTAGTATTCTTCCATATTTAAAGGAAAGTCATTTAGGCAGCAATTAGAACTACTATAAATAAAATAGCTCCAGGGACCAGAGGAAAGTCATGTATGACACGTATGTGACTTTCATGCTCTTCTTTCTCTGTCTCTCTCTCTATATACACACACACATATATATATATATATATATATATATATATATATATATATGTAATTTATTTATATACATATGCATGAAGAAAACTCATCAGAAAAGACTGAATGCAATAGTCATTTATATTACTTAAAACTAGTTCCAAGTGGCAGTCTTCTCCTAACTATGATAAAGAACAGGTTTGTCCAACTTTTTCTTTTATATAGTATAAGAAAAAGAACCTAAGAACTTCTGAGAGAAATTAATACCTTTATATTCATGAAATCTGTAAAAAAGTATCTTTCCTATTTAATTTTTTTGCAGATGACAATGGCATATGAAGTTAGTAAGCTTCATAAAGGCATTTGAAGCATATTCCAGATAGCCAAAACACTGTTAAATTATAATTTGGACCCTATCTGGTTTGGCTCAATGGATAGAAGGGTCCTGGGTTCGATTCTGGTCAAGGGCACATGCCTGGATTGTGGACTTGATTCCCCAGTAGGTGGCATGCAGGAAGCAGCCAATCAATGATTCTCTCTATTCGTTGATGTTTCAATCTCTCTCCCTCTCCATTCCTTTGTCTGAAATCAATACAAATATGTTTTTAAAAATTATAACTTGGATATCAGTTCACTGTTAATAACCATTTCTGGAAAACAAAATTCAACAACATGCTTTAGTTATCCATATTCATGTACAAATTACATTTAAGTTCTGTTGTATGGAAGAATAGTTGAAAGCCCTCAATTCTTTAACTGCATAACTCAATTTGGTATGAGATTTCATTAACTGTACTAAACACTCCAGTGAAGGAGTTGTTTGACTTTGGAAAATGTCTTCATGATCCAAGAGTTGTAAATCTGAGATCAACCAAAGAACTTATGTGCATATATGCATAACTCATGGACACAGACAATAGTGATGAAGGCCTGAGGAGGGAATGGGAGTGGGGAGAAAGGGGAATAAAGGGGGTCATCTATAATACTTTCAATAATAAAGATAATTTCATCTATAATACTTTCAATAATAAAGATAATTTCATCTATAATACTTTCAATAATAATCGAACCCAGGACCCTTCTATCCATTGAGCCAAACCGGATAGGGCCCAAATTATAATTTAACAGTGTTTTGGCTATCTGGAATATGCTTCAAATGCCTTTATGAAGCTTACTAACTTCATATGCCATTGTCATCTGAAGTATGCTCAAATATATTTCTTTAGAAGATCATTTCTGCCGAAGCCGGTTTGGCTCAATTGATAGAGCGTCGGCTTGGGGACTGAAGGGTCCCGGGTTCGATTCCGGTCAGGGGCATGTACCTTGGTTGCGGGCATATCCCCAGTTGGGGGTGTGCAAGAGGCGGCTGATCTATGACTCTCTCTCATTGATATTTCTAACTCTCTATCTCTCTCCCTTCTTCTCTGTACAAAATCAATAAAATATATTTTTTTAAAAAATTTAAAAAAAAAATTAAAAAAAAAAAAAGATCATTTCTGCCAAAACCAGTTTGGCTCAGTGGATAGAGCATCAGTCTGCGGACTGAAAGGTCCCAGGTTCGATTTCGTTCAAGGGCATGTACATTGGTTGCGGGCACATCCCCGGTGTGGGGGGGGGGGAGTGCAGAAGGCAGCTGGTCGATGTTTCTCTCTCATCGATGTTTCTAGCTCTCTATCCCTGTCCCTTCCTCTCTGTAAAAAATCAATAAAAAATATTTTTAAAAAAAGATAATTTCTAGGAAATGTTCTCAAAAATGCAGAGGAAAAAATAATCATTGACACCTCTATGAAAACCATTACACTTGCAAGAGAAAATGGAATTCACTACTTTTACTGGAATTCACTGTTTTTACTTCACTCCAGGAAGGCAGTGACTGGTGCATTGTTTGTACCTACACAGAGCCATGACAGATCATGCATCATAATAAATGTTTATTACATCAATGAACGAACAAAAGGTAGATGAGAGTGATTATCTTAGTACCTAAGAAATTATATACAGGTATTTCCTTCAATGATATATTTGAGGAAGCTCTTCACTAAAGGAACAAATAAAGTCTACTACTTTTACATTCACTTAGTCAAAAAGTATTTATTGAATACACCCAGTACTTGATAGTTATTAAGGCTCTTGAGATAAACAGGAAGAAGAAAAAACTTAGTTCCTTTTCTTAAAAATTTATCATCCATAGAAGGACTCAGACAAAAAACTCAGTACCAAAGCATATAAATTAACTTATAATATAAGATGTGATTTGGGCCCTGCTAGATACAAATAAGAATCAGTGAAAAAGAATTTTCCCAGGAAGTTGGGAAGTCAGAGCACCTGTTTGAGTGGTGAGGTTCCTATACAATAAAAGGGTAATATGCAAATCGACTGGTCACTATGATGAGCTATGACTGGTCACTATGATGTGCACTGACCACCAGGAGCAGATGCTCAGCTACAAACCGGGCTGACGGCTGGCGAGCTCAATGGCCCAAATTCTCAGTCAGACATCCCCCAAGGGTCCCAGACTAAGAAAGAGGGCAGGTCGGGCTGAGGAACGCTCCCCCCATGAGTGCACGAATGTCGTGCACCAGGCCTCCAGTACAGCAATAATACTCTTCATTTGCAGACACTAGAAAGATGGTAACACCATTCATAGGCCACTGAATCCCATAAGGAAAAGTCCTCCCCTTATGTGGGCAGAGGTACTGGCTAGCTTCAAGCCTAAGCACTAACCAGCCCAACTCTATGCCTTCCTTCAGGCTCCCCCACTACCCAGCTACTCTCCCTGGCTTGATCAAAGTCTGCCAAGCTCAGGTCTGCATTCTACAATAGTTCTGGCCTTGCCCACACTTACTAAACATCCAGCCTTAGTCAAAGCTTTCATCTTCCCAAGTTTCCATCTCCTCCAGTGAATGAGACTGAGAATGATAATTCTGTATCTGATTGCTGGATGGTCAAATAAGAGAGCATTAAGAAACTGTGATGTAAATAATACGACTGTTCACTGTGACTGAAATGACAATGACAATAATGATGTAGATGAATACCCTTTGTGGAAACATTCAAAAATCAAATGCTTCTTCATTAGCTTATGAATTCCTCTTTTGCATGTTTTTAAATAACCATAACAGTACCTGGGGCAGTGGTTTTCTCTCAGAGGTATTTGGACATGTGCACCAGAGATTGAGGTTGTTAAATTATTTTGATGTCACTGGATTACTCGAATGTAATAACCAGGGATACCACAGGTCCTGCCATGTGTGAACCATCCCCACACAACAAAGAACTGTCCAATCCAAAATGCTCTGGCCACTGTTAGATGCTCAATAGATAAGAAATATTTAGTAAATATTTTCTAAATAAATGAATGTTACATATAGTAGTTATTTCCTTCAGGGCACAGTAAACTGCCAGTCCCTTGAAATGAAGGAATGTGACGCATTCATTTTCATCTTCCCAGATCCCCAACTCTGAAGCTGAGACATGATAAACATCGACTATCTCAAAAACACAATCACCAAATCAAAACAATTACACTGCAAAAAATTATAACTATTTGATATGGGTAAGGTAAGGGAATAATCCTATATAAAAAAAGGTTAATATGCAAATCCACCTAATGGCAGAACAACCAGTGGCTATGATGCACACTGACCACCAGGGGGCAGGCGCTCAATGCAGGAGCTGCCTCCTGGTGGTTAGTGCACTCCCACAGGGGCAGCGGCACTCTTAACTGGCGAGAATAGGGGCGGTGGTGCAGCACTAAGGATGGCTAACTAGGGCTTAGGCCCGCTCCCCTCAGCCGGGCATCCCCCAAGGACTCAGACTGCAAAAGGGTGCAAATGGGCTGAGAGACCCCCATCCTCTTACCCCCTGCCCCGAGTGCATGAATGTGGTGCACCAGGCCTCTAGTGTTATAATAAGGATATGGAGGAAACAATACTAAAACCTAGAGGTCCTAGGGAAGTAAATGAGGCTTTCCTCCACCACCAGATGACTAACTGCAATTCTAAGGCATGATCATTCCAAGAACGAACTCGGAAAGAGTAGTGCTTTATAAAGATCTGCATGCTTTCCTGAGGAATTTTAACCCAAAAGACATACTTTTTCTCTGTATATCAGTTTAAACGTCAATGGGTCACTCTTAAGCTATTTGGATATCTTCATATTTCTTTTAGAGGAAACAGGTACCAGAACAGTATACAAAATGTATTAAATTGCACACTTTTGTTTCAAAAGAACAAAAGCCATTTCTCAGACTGAATAATGGGAGCCAAGAAAGTGTTTAAAATAATAGCAAAAGGTTACAAAGCAGCTGAATAAAAGACAGTGTGAAACAATGGAAATAAAACATTAGAAGGCATTTTAAAGATTAGGTAATCTGCCCTAACCTTGAGAAAGAGCAAATTTTCCATCAGCAGTTAATGAAAAAAAGCACAGAAAACCAATTATAGAGACATGGAAGAAATGCAAGTAGATATCACAGAACCATGTATGAAGGCAAAAAGTAAGATAAAAACAGAATATATAAATTTACAGTGTTAAAGAAAATATAAATATGTAGTAGTGGATGAATTTCTCAGATCTTGAAAAAGGTTCCAGAATTGGGAATATATTTTTAAGTTTATTTCTCCTCAGCAAAGAGTACTTTATAAGAACTGATATTCAGTTGCAAATGATCTCCTATCTACACAGCTTACTTCCGGTGACAAGTCTCACCATGCTTCACACAGCCCAAACGCATTCCATGCAAAGGAAACAGGACAAGTGTAGAGCAACCGATTACTCCATCTAGGTTTGCAAATGTATGAAGAAGTAAACTTTGAATTGTCAACATGGCCAAGCATAGGAGCTAGTGGATATTGCCTCTTTATAAGTTTAACTTGGCTTACACTTACCTCAGTCTTAGTGTTCTTAGTTCTTTTACTTAAAAAAAAAAAAAGTGCTGTTTCAAAAGTAACTATAAAATAGTTGAAGCCTTTCTGCTTTGACTTTCATGTCATACACCAACTGTTTTAGTCGAAAAACAGACACCTAGAAAAACTCCGTTGTGTAAGTACTTCCTGAAAAAAGAACTGCCTGTAATACTTTCTGATGTAATGCACCCTCTCTTACAATCATGGCAGTCCTGAGTCAAGTTCCATTTTGCTTAAAAGTTTCTCTCTAAAAGGAAAATGACCTCCTCGCCTCTATTCATAGTTAAGTGGTTTACTTTAATAAGAGCTTCATGCCAACAGATCTCTTTAATAATTTTATTGACTTATCATGATACCAAAGGTGGTTGTATATAGGGTGTCTAGACTTTGAGGTCTAGAGGGTAAATTTATGTTTGAGTAGTAACATGCATTCTGTACTTTGAACAATGTAATCTGCTAAGTGATATAACTTTTGGCCCTGTTCTCACAGGGACTTTTTCATTTCATAGGCTTCTGCTTGCATCTAAATAGGTTTAAAATCTAGCTTGGGACAGATAAAGGAAAGATCCAATTATGTGAATGTATATGTCCTCAATGAAAAATTAGGTGTCAAAGAGTAATGATCAAGTATGTACATTGCTAAAACCATAGGTCAATCTCAGTGATCTGTTCTCCATCCTTCATTTTCTCTGCAGGCCCACCATGAATCGTGTCTCAAGATTATCATGTCTACTTGAAATCTTTCTTCCTGGTATAAATTAATTCAATCTATGATAAAGTCGCTTGCCTGCTCCTAACCCAAAACTGTATTTTGCCATCAAGCAAAGGCACGAACCATGATTTACTTTCTATTGTTCAAAGGGGGGTAATTTATTAATATCCTTTTCTTTATGACACTAGCACAATTAAGTTATAATTTACCCAGAAAGTCCTACTCCTGAAAATTACAAATATCAACATCTGATTTTAAGATTTCAAAATCTGTTTTTTCATATCTCGGATTTTCAAAATGAATACTTAGAAAGTTGAGACAAACTGGCCTGCCCTTCCCGGCTCTGTGATGCAGTTACTCATTCAACGAATCCATTGCCTAGCTCACGCTGAGTATGTGTACTGCTAGTGTCATTGAACGACCGCCCTTTCTCCTCTACCTACACGCCTACATTAAAAGCATGCAATTTTCTTGCAGATTTTCTCCATCTCCTCTCTCATGACCTCTCCGTGGGAAGTTGCTCCGCCACCCCATCCCTAAAGCACTTTTGCCTAAAATAGAGGGCCAGCTAGGCGCGGGAACAGGGGGGGAGCGCGCTTCCCCCTCGGCTGTCAACCAGGCCGAACGGCGCATGCGCAGCGCGAGCAGCCGGCGGTAGCGCAGCCCGCCCGGGGCCGGAGGTCCAGCCCCCCGGGCGGTGCGGCGCCGGGGGCGGCCCGCGGGGCGCTGGGAGCGCGGACCGCGCGGCGTGCGGATCGGGCGGGCGGGCACACTCACAATTTCAGCATCCACTCGCCCTCCATCACCAGCGTCCAGTTGGCGGCAGTCATGGGGAGCACCATGCTCTGCTCGGCCGACGGCACGGCATGCTGGGGCGCGGCCTCCTCCTCCTCCGCGGCCGCCGCCGCCACCACCACCCCAGCGGCTAGGAGCGCCCTGAGCAGCAGCGGGCCCCAGCGCCCGCCGGCCATCGTGGGGCGAGGAGCGGAAGGGAGAGGCTGGTCCGCGGCCTTGCTCGCTGCACCCCGGACCTTCCCGGGGTGGATCCGCAGGCTGCACCGGGCCGCGCGGACAGGCCCGGCTGGAGGCGGGGGCCGGCGCCGCCTCTTAACCGCCGCGGCGCGCTGAGGCCACGCCCCCTCCCGCTCGGACTCGCCGCGTGGCCCGGGGCGTCGGTTGCCTAGGCGACGGCCTCCCTTTCTTGCTGACCTCCAAGCTGAGAATAAACTGATGACTTGCTGTTGCCCAAATAACAACAGGCACCCATGTGCCCAGGCTACCCCAGGAAGGGCGGCTGGTGCGTGTGGGTGTTTCTATAAGAGAAACATGGCCACTAATTTAAAAAATGCATCCCCTCGCCGAAACCGGTTTGGCTCAATGGATAGAGCATTGGCTTGGGGACTGAAGAGACCAGGGTTCGATTCCGGTCAAGGGTATGTACCTTGGTCGCGGGCATATCCCCAGTAGGGGGTGTGCAAGAGGCAGCTGATCGATGACTCTCTCTCATCAATGTTTCTAACTCTCTATCTCTCTCCCTTCCTCTCTGTACAAAAATCAATAAAATATATATGTTTTTAAAAAATGCATCCCCTCCTCAGAGGGCAGCAAAAAGAACAATGCACTGCAAAGTAAACCTGTTTAATGAAAAATGGAGGTACATAGAGGCCATCTCTAACTCTGGCTGAAAGGTCAAGGCAAATTCAAGTACTCACAGTGTGTGTATATTGCCTGGTTGGAGTTAATTGTAAAACTATGCAGTTGTAAATTTTTGCATAAAAAATTTTAATTTTATAAAAACTTTAAAACATGGGTACTAATAAGTTGATAAGACTATTGCCAGTTGCAATGAAATGCACCTCATTTTATTTTTATTTTTATTTTTATTTTTTGGTCAGATATAAATGAAAGCCTTAAATATTTCCAAATTTCTTTCCAGATACATGGCTTCTGTACCTAGAGGTCACCACACTCTTGGGTGTGACTGAAATACAATTAGAGGGTGGTGAGCTTCTTGAAGTGTGCTTTATAAGAATCATTAGGTGTTCAAAGGATGAAACTGAGCAACCTGATGTGAACTCAGAGGAGAATGAAGCCACTAAGAATTTGGCTAATGGGCTAAAGCTAAAAAGCATCAGCAACAACAACAACAACAACATAATAAGCCTGGCAGCCATTTCTACACAAGGGCTTCTCCATTTCAGGGAAAAGCTTAAACTGACCTACCTGTCTCTGCACTGAACTATTTGCCTGTATTGTGTTACTGCTGTCTGAGTCAGCTTTTATAAAGTGGTTCCTGGAATCCTGCTTTAACCAAGAGGACTGAAGCTTTCTCCATCTAGTCAGAGCTTTGCATCTCCAAACAACCAGATTGGCTCTATTCTAACCAATCAAGACAGTGCCTTTGGGGCTAGTAAAACTTTGAAGATTTGGAGTCATTTGCATGAGGCCAGACCAATCAGGAACCAGGAGCAACTACTTCTGTCTATACTAGTGGTCCTGTACACAAAATTTGTGCACGGTGTCCCTCAGCCCGGCCTGCACCCTCTCCAATCTGGGGCTGCTGGCTTCTAACCACTCATCTGCCTTCCTGCATGATTGCCTCTAACCACTCTGCCTGCCAGCCAGCCTGCTCACCCCCAACTGCCTCCCCCTGCTTGCCTGATCACCCCCAACTGATCCCCACAGACAGCCTGCTCACCCTGAGCTGCCCCCTCACAGGCCTGATCACCCCCAATGCTCGCCCTCCACTGGCTTGATCATCCACAACTGCTGTTCCATCCTGGCCTGATCACCCACAACTGCCCTCCCATCTTGGCCCCTAAGCACCTCCACCATGACTTTGTCCAAAAGAATGTCCGGAAGGTCTCCTGGAAGGTCTCCCAGTCTAATTAGCATATTACCCTTTTATTAGTGCATGGGTGGGGGCTGGCTAATTTTCCCTGAAGAGTGTCCTGGACCAGGGAGGGGTTCCCTTGGGGGTTGAGGTGGCCTGGGCAAGGGGCTGGGCAGTTTGCAGGCTAGCCACACCCCCATGGGGTGAGGGTCCCCGCTGGGGGGGCATGGCCAGCCTGGGTGAGGGGCTGAGGGTGTTTGCAGGCTGGCCATACTTCCCAGCAGGGACCCTCACCCCAATGGTGGAATAGCCAGCCTGGATTAAGGGCTGAGGGTGTTTGCAGGCCCCACCCTTGGCAACCGGCCCAGGCAACCCAAGCCTTCTGTGTGCTCAGACTGGCTCTGTGGCCGCTGTTGTCTTTGTCCTGCTAATTTGCATATTCCTTCCTGATTGGCTGTGGTCATCGTGGAGTGTCAGTCAATTATCATATTTCTCCTTATTAGTATAGATAAGCCAGTTCCCTCAGGCTCTGAGAGTGCACTGTCCCTTGACAAGGAAGGATGAGGGTTGTGTTTTTCCAGTTAGGCGCTGAGCTATAGAAGGGCTTGGCCCCAGGGCTGTTGCACAGCCATGCTGTATCACAATTGAGCTGTTTTGCACAGAATAAAGTTTCCTTCTTCACTGCACCCCAAATTGGGGATTCCTGTTTGCATTGAATTGGCATCAATGACCATCAGTTGACAGTGATCAACATATCATGAAAACTGATTTCTGAACACACAGATAAGTATACAACGATGATTATTACAGGACACATGACATGAATCTATAACCCCTACTTATAGGAAAGGAAGGTTAATTTGCCTCCAGAGGTCTTATCTGCATTAGGTGTTAATTTGTAGTAGCTGAATTCTTTGTGAACCCTCCCCTTATCAAAATATGACTCAAATTTAAACTACCATAAATTTGGAAAAAGTTCCTGCAATAAATCTTACTAAAAGTCACTGTTATTGTGTACAGATTGTTATCAAACTCAAGGGTTTTGAAGCTTGGATGCTCTATTCAAGAAAGTTGTTGAAAGGCAGTTTTATTTATTTTGCATATGAACTTATATCCAAAGCCTAAGGGAAGCTTAGCCATTGCTTATTAACACTATGTGGTCAATTACATTTGATTCTTCTTTTAAAATGGCTAGTGACTCACTTATCAGATTGGGCTCCTCTCAAGCTCATCTTGTTACAGCTGCATCTGCAAAATACTGTGCTGCATTTTAAAATTCAGCAAGAATAGCACTTAGTAAGATCTGCCCAGACCTTGAGACATGTGTCCTTTCTAACAAGATCAGTCCTATAAACTCAGTTGAAACATTTTATTTTACTTATAAAAAAAAGGACTCATTCATGTGAATCCTGCCATTCTATTCAGTGCAGCTTTTGTGTATATGTTGTTAAAAAAGAAAAAATGCTCTTAAAAATAAGATCTCATATTGAGGCATTACTGTTAATTTATTGGTTGTGATAATGATGTTATGACTGTATATTTTTAAGTTTTGATTGGTTACAGATAGTGAAATATTTATGGTTAAAATAATATGCTATATTTAGAGTTCACTTTTTAAAACTCTAGAAGTAAAATTTGGAGGGTGGAGGAAAGATGGGTGAAGTCAACGTGGCACAATATCAATTAATATTGAAGCTAAGCTCATTAATGCTCTTCTATTTTTGTGTATGTTGGAGTTTTTTTCAAAATTATAAAGAGAGCATATCTGAGAAAACAAAAGAAATTATTGCTTATGATGGCTTGGATGGGTCTCGTGGGTATTATGCTCAATGAAATAAGTCAGTCAGAAAAAAGACAAATATCATATGGTTTCACTTACATGTAAAATCTAAAGGACAAAATAAATTAAGAAAAAATTGAAACAGACTTATAGATACAGAGAGAAGCCTGGGGAGGGGGCATTGGGGCACTGGGTGAAAGAGGTGAAGGGATGAAGAAGCACAAATTGGTAGTTACAAAATAGTCATGGGAAAATAAGAAAGCATAGATAATGTAGTCAATAATATAGTGATGACTATTTATAGAGCCATTTGGGGTACTGGAAATATCAAGGGAACGCTATGTAAATTATATGATTGTCTAACAACTATGCTGTACACCCAAAACCAATACATAATAAAATAAAATAAAAAAAGAAACTATTGCTGAAGTTTTTCCTGTATCTAACACAAAATGTAGATTCAAAAATTGCATTTCTTGGCCTTCTGACTAAGGTGAGTAGGAAAGAATATAACAAATATGTGGGGTAGCACAGACCAGGGTCAGGGAAGTAACTGCTGTCAACCCATGATTGACATCTCTGGCTGACACTTCCTACAAATGTGATTTGGGGCTAAAACTACTTGACTCCGAGGTTTTATTTAAATGTTGCTAATAATAGAACATACTGCATATGATGGCTGTGAAGACTGAGTGAGGTAAATATAATGCCTAACTCAGTATGATTCAATAAAGGTTATGTATTATACTATCATTTGGAGGCAATGCTTCTAGGGCTCTCTATTTTTCCTAAATTAAAGTCGAATTCACTTTAGTTCACAGTCCTTCACAATCTAGCTTCAATTTTGCCCACCTTACAGTCCACCATTCCTACAATTTCCCATGCTCCAGTAACACAAAGTTATTCCTTATTCCCCAAACACATCAGAAATGGAGGCCTCAGTCCACCAGCTCTGAAAACCTGAATCCTGCAACCACAGAAGTAACCTAGAAGCAGATCATTGACCCACTCCTGAGATGGCGGACCTTCCTTAAGAATGATCTAGACAAGCAAGAGCATAAACCTTAAGTAGGTCTTCTAACCAACAGAAACTGTGAAACAATAAACGTTGCTTCAAGCCACTAAGATTTGTGGTAATTTGTTATGCAGCCATAGGTAAATAGGTCAGGGCTCAATCCTTTATGTGTTTAAAGGATGGAAACCATTTAAAGAATGGAAAGCGTTTAAAGAAGGGAATTACAGTTTTAGGATGATTGATACCTGGTACTGGGAGAAAGAGCTTTTGTCCCTAGAGTGTGTAGTTTTCACTGGTAGCACTGTGGGGCAGCTATGGTTACACAAAGATACATGGCTCCATGTCAGAAAAAAGAACACCTTGTTCTCTGATGAGCTGACGCACTGACAGGAAAGAGAGGAAGAATGTGGTGGATGTGTACACGGAGTGGCCAGATTATTATGATCTCTGAACGCATAAT